GGAATTTTTGCAAATGATATTAATAAATAAAAGTAATTGCGGTTTCCCAAGTACTTTAAATCTAACAATAAGTCTGACAATCTAGTTATGAGATAATCCACATGTTATGAGAATGAATTTCTTCAGAAAGTTTCGAAAATTAGAAATTTGCGCATTAAGTTTTATGAATGCAATGGCCAATGGGGAGCAGCGACGCGTGCCAGTGTTATGTTGCAGACTAGGCGGGACTAGCCATCGGAATTGCACACCGTCTCAAGGCTACCAAGCGTAGCCGGGTCCTGAGAATCCAGAACCGATCAAACCCCAACGAGCAGTCGGACGTAGTGTATCGCATACCATGTCTAAACTGTCCTCCAAATTACACGGGACAGACTGGACGCATGTTTGGTTCGCGCATACACGAACATAAACTGGTGGTTGTACGACGGGGTGACGCATTATCGCAAGTGGCTGCCCACACCCATGAAACGGGTCAGAAGTTCAACTTCGCAGCCAGGAGAATAATTGCCCACACCAGCAACAAGACAGACCGAGAACTGATTAAGGCCTGGGCCTCGGATGGCAACTCAGTCAACCGGTGCATCGAGCTGGCGCCCGCATACATCGCCCTGCGCAGGCATCTCCAGAATGACTGCACTAGTTGATTGGATCCTGCTTCTCGTAAATGTTGCTTGTTTTTCGTTGACGCCTTTTACCTCTGACGATGGACTCCCGCAAGAGTTCGAAAGTGCAGACTAATAAAAATATGATTCCGGTGATCGACAGGGCATCTTCCTCTCGATCTACACATATATCTGAGTTGCAAACATTTGCCTCAACTTTGGTTTAAAATCGAGTCTTCAACAAACAGTGTTGGCAAAGTGAAGAAGGAATAAGAGCGAGGAAAACGGAGCAGAAGACATTGCGTCTTTTCCAACTTATAAACCAGAGGAAGTAATTACACATTAACATACATTAACCAGACTGGAATGAAGGGAAGGGGGGTAGGAGACAGTCTCCAAAAGTTTTAAGATCATTATCATCACTATCAACACCAATATCAGGTCACATAATAGCATGGTCCACGCCGACTACCTACCAAATAACTGCGGTTGTACAGTAGTCGTCGGCTATTAAGCCCACCTCGGGCCCAGACCAACTTGGGCTTAATAAGCGGCG